ATTTCACAAAAAATTTCTTTTGATAAATTATGTGAGTAGTGTTAATAGTTCGTTCTGCTATCCATTTCCACCATTTGATCTGCTATGTAGTTACAGCCAGTAACTCCTCAATGAAACTTCAATGCACTCTAAAAATCAACGATCGACTATTTAGAATGAATACGTTGTTTTCTTTACTTATTACTTTCAACCAACATTTCCTTAAATTTTTTCGGTACTTCTACTCCCAATTTTGAAATATTTCTTTTTTTTTCCTCTACATATTCTGAATAATATTAAGTGTAACGAGTACTTATAAACGAGGTTTGTTTCTGGAATATTTATCTCATTTAAAGTTTTTTTTTTTTTTATTTATTTATTAATGATATTTACAACTGTATTACAAGTAAAAATACATTCAGTAAATGTGTACAATAGAATATAATAACATGAAATCATTTGGTGAGAAACTACCCACTGGTAGCACTCTAAAAATATATTTACAAAACGAGATCTCGAGGCCATCTTCTTTTCAGACGCCTCGGAGGGTTGTCAGGTATCGAAAAGGAAGCAAGGTTAGAAACGAGAGGGTTAGGATGGTTCTGAAGTTTATTATGGAAGGAAAGGTATCTGGATTGGGCCAGGTCAGAAACATAAGGAACATTAAGGTCGTTATGGATGATTTTGTTTGTGACAAAGTAAGGAGCTGTGAGGATTTTACGAAGGATTTTGGATTGTAAGGATTGGATGCGAGAGGAATTCGATGGCTTAGTGGAGCCTCATTTAAGGTTAAATTTATTTTAAAATCTTAAATAAAGCAGTCACTCAATGATTTTAAATTATTAACGCTAAACATTTCTGCTGTAATTCTCATTACCCTTTAAAAATTTAGTTTCTATGATAAGTACGTTTCAACTACCTTATTTTAATATATATATATATATATATATATATATATATATAATATACCCTATTTAGACTATTTTAGTTAATAAAAACAATATATAAGAATTGGTTCTGTTCTAATTTCAATTCAGTTCAATTTCTCATACTAATGTCTATTCCTGAATAAAAAATAAATATTTTGAGAAAGAAAAGGTCCTAACTACTGAACCAATGAAACTCGACATGTATCACGTGGTCCGATCAGCCTTAACCACCACGTGCTCAGTCATGTGACCCTTCTGCCACGACCCCTTTTACCTTATCCCTATCTTAACCACCTAGCCACGCCCTTTTTAGTCACGTGATCGGCCACGTGACTATTAGCCTTTTTGATCCTGCAACCTCTACATTTCCCCCCACTCCTCTCTAAAAGGCTGAGTGTGCCCGGCCGCCATCTTGTTTTCGGATACTTATGAGGTGTTCTTCTAATTTGACGTCACGATACAACGCCCTTTTATGATCATGTGCCTCCGCCTTTAACCCCCACTCCTCTCTAGGAGGCTGAGTGTGCCCATCCGCCATCTTGTTTTCAGGTATTTACGAGGTTTACGCCTAGTATGACGTCATGAGCTGACGCCCCTTTTCAATCTTGTGACCCTCATATTTTCCCCCCACTCCTCTCTAAAATTATGAGTGCACCCGACCGCCGTTTTGTTTTACTGAGATTTTAAAGACTTGGAGCACTTGTCCGCCATTTTGTTTTACTGAACCTTCGCAATAGTTATCTTTTATATAACCTTCTTCATGTTTGTATTTTTCATAGTCACTTGACCATTTCCCATTTTTTCCTATAGCCTTTCTAATGTTCATCTTTTATATTATAACGTTCCCAATGATTATCTTTTATATAACCTTCTTCATGTTTATCTTTTAAAAGGCTAGGTGGTAAGATAGGGACAAGGTAAAAGCGGGCGTGGTCTAAGGGTCACATGACTGACCACGTGCTAGATAAGACTGGGTGAAGGGGATGGAGCAAAAAGTGCCCCAGAAGCCTCATACTTCCACTACTATTAATGAGTGTAATCAAGTACTGAAAGGTTGACATGGTGGCTTTTACCTTATGGTGAAAGGTGGCTTCTGGTAATAAAATTAGATATTCATTAATTACTTTTAGTATTTTTGTATTATTTATTTTTATTTATTGTTGATACAGTGTGATTGAGCTCTCTGTACACTATGATAAATGTTATTAATTGTGGCAGATTGTAATATGTCTCAATAAACATGTAATAATAATAATAATAAATTTATTTATTGAGCAATTTTACAAATACCTTTTGGCATATTTTGTAAATGTGATGTTCGTTAGCGAACCTCCTCTTCGGGATTAGCGTGAATGCGTGATTGGAGAAGCCTCCCAGTGAAGGCACTCCTAACGTGACTCTTAATGCAGCACATCCCTGCTCCAGAGGCGTTTGAGTCTCCTTGGTGGATTCTGTGGTAGTGTATCTGTTAGTAATGTTTGTATAAGTGGATTAGGATGTCCAGCTAAGGAGTCATGGAAATTTTTGTAATATTTTTTAATTACATCAGTCACTTGTGGTGTTTGTAGGTATATATGAAGTGATTTATTGGTTATGTAGATGGGACAATGAGTGATATAACGGAGAAATTTTGATTGGAAAATACTGCCCTGCGGTACTCCAATTCGGATTCGGCAATAGTCGGAATATTTACCATCCTGGTTATCAATAAAAAATCTATCCTCAAGATACGATCAGATGATTAAATAGTATGTATGCGGAAAGATAGGTTTAATTTTACAAAGTAAACCATCATGCCACACTTTATCAAAGGCCTGGGAGACGTCTAAGAAAGCTGTTGTGCAAAATTCCTTCTTTTCCAATGCCACAGCAATTGTATCAATCACTCTGTGACATTGTTGTATGGTAGAGTGTGCAGGTCTAAATCCAAATTGGTGATTGGGAATAACATTGTTTGCTTCTAAAAATGGATAGAGCCGTTTTAATAATAATTTTTCAGATATTTTGGAAAATAAGGGTAAAAGACTGATAGGCCTATAGGACGTGACTAAAGGTTTGCTTGGTTTCGGTATCATTTTTATGTTTGAAAATTTCCATACTAGAGGAAAGTAAGTAAGTCGAAGGATAGAATTGTAAATAGCTGTCAGGAAGCTTTTTTGGGTAGAAGTCGTACAATTTTAGGTGTGATTAGGTCAAAACTAGGAGACTTTCTGCGAGGTAATTTTTTAATACAAAATTCTATGTCCGAAGGAGTTATAGCGGAAGGAGGTAGAGAAAGGGGAAGAGGAGAAATGAGGATTTGTTGGACGTCTGAGCAGTGCTGTTGGTCAGGCAAGTCTTCATGTGGATGAAATACGTCTGTCAGATGAAGATGTAGCAAATAAGTCTGCTTTCTCTTTATTGCTTCTAGCCCATGAGTTGTCTGGTTTGCGGAGAGGAGTCTTTGTTTGGTGGTACCCTAGTATCTTTCGGGTTTGTTGCCAGAGAGTATTGTTACTTGTCTGTAAAGTGGTCAGATGTTTTTTGTAAGTTTTCTGTTTGTATTGTTGTATAAGTTTTCTAAGTTTGTTAGAAAGAGCGTTTAGTAGCTGTTTGTCACTGGGATAGCGAGATCTTTTCCTTTGATTGAGAGCACGTCGTTTTTCAATTAGAAGTGATCGTATTTACGGGGGTAAGTAATGTTTGTCGCGGTTGGTCCCGTACTTGCGTGCTGATTGCCGCGCGGCAGCTTGTACAGTCTTAGTAAGCGTCTCTACTGCATTGTCAATATCATTTTTCGTCTTTAATCTTGTGTTTAGATCAATTGTCTTATTAATAATGGAATGAAATTTATCAATTAATATTGGCCCAGGAGTTAGTGTAAGTGTGTGGTTGATAGTAAACATGTGTCTAGAGAGAGATAAAATAACCGCTGAATGGTCTGATGATAAGTCGTTACTAATAGAGATATGATGGTGTAGTGTGTGTAGGCTAGAAGTTATAAAGAAATAAAGTAATTCTGGTTGAAGGTTTATGTCTGTCGGCCAGTACGACGGTTCAGGTCGTAGTATGCAGTTATAGTCCAGTTCTATACATGTATTAAAAAGAGAGTTTCCTCTGGAAATATTGGTCCTATTGCCGAAACGGGGATGTTTGGCGTTAAAATCTCCTCCACATAAGAATTTAGGTCCTAAGCTGCCAAGTATGTCTGTAAACGTTTCCTGCGAAACTCTTTGTCTCGGAGGACAATATGCACTGGCAATAGAAATTTTGGTGTGATCGATTTCAACCGAAATAGTTGATAATTGAATTTCTGGTAAGGCAGTCATTTGAAGAGGATAGTGGTATAATGTTCGTTTTACGACTATTGCCGAGCCACCACGGGCAGTACCGTTAGGATGGTCAGCGCGGTACACTACATACCCTTGTATGTAAAATCTTGTAGTTTGAGTAAAATGAGTTTCTGTTAGTAATGCAATGTCAATGTCATTTTCATGTAAATAGATGTCAAGTTCATTCCTTCGGTGTAGGGCTCCATTTGAATTCCAAAGAAGGATTTTTAGAGAGTGTTGTGAGATAGAATTAGAGACTAACATGAGGAATAAATTTGGTAATTAGCGTGGTGAGAAGAGTGATGAGTGGAGTTATCATAGATTTAAAATCATTTAAGAAGGAATTAAAATATAATGAGAGATCTGGAGCATTAGGTTGTGTATTAGATGTTGGGTGATGAGGTCTTGAGTATGAGGTTGACGTGTATTGATGCGGTATGTATTAAGATTGGGTATAATGAGGTACTGAACAGTCAGGGATTATCCTCGTTTGGTTTATTGTGTGCTGAGGAGTTATACTTGTTGTATGAGGAGTAGAGTATTGAGGGGATATATTTGAAGTTTGAGGATCTGTAATTTGAGGAGTCGTATAATGAGGAATGGTATTGTGAGGCATTACATTGTGAGAAGATATATTTGAAGTTTGGGGATTTGTAATTTGAGCAGCTATATGATGAGGAATGATATTGTGAGGGATTACACAACGAGGAGATTCATTTGAAGTTGTGGTATTTGTAACTTGAGTTGTATGATGAGGAGCAATATTGTGAGAGATTAGGAGTTAGTAGTGAGGAGTTACACTCGTCGTTTGAGCAGTTGTGAATTGTGGTGTTGTGTTGTAATATGTAGTTTTAGTACACGTTGCCTGTGCGTAAGTCGTGTTGTGTAGTTTTTGCGAGATAGGGACGGTGTAAGTAAGTCGGTCGTGTTCCGCCTCTGGAGGCAGGTGTTCTGTTACCTCTCTACTCGAAGTGGCCTGGCTCCACACATTGAGTCTTCTTTTCTGCAACTCTAGATGCACTACGCATCCCCTATAATTCGCAAGATGATTGCCACTGCACAACGCACAAACAGGTGGCTCTTCAAGTGGTTTCTGGCACCTATCACTAGGATGATCTTGACCGCACTTCACACATCGTGGTTTGTGACGGCAAAATGTTCTGGTGTGCCCGTATTCTTGGCATCTCATACATTGGACAATATTTCTTCTTTTGTAAGGTTCTTCAATCCTAACTTTTGTATAAGCCAAATTAGTTATATTAAAAACTTCAGCATTGTTTGGAGCTGGTTCTAAGTCAACAAAGAAGAGTGGGAGTGGTTCTTTTGATCTCGGGTGTAACACATTATAGATGAGACGGATGTTGAATCCTTTTCTTTCAAGGTCATATCTTATCATTTCGTGTGGTGTTGAATAATGGAGATTTCTAATAACAAACCTATAAGGTTTGTCTTCTTGAGATTGATAAGTGTGAAAGTTTTAATTATTGGTTTCCAAATATTTAATGCAGATTCTATAGGCTTCACTTGTTTTAATTTTTAATGTAACAATCGATTTGTTAGAAAAACATTCAAAATTATTTTCTCCTAAAAGGCTTACTAAATTCGTGCATAGAGTTTGGAAGTTTGTTATGCCTTTTATTTTAATTGGAGGTGGTTGATGAGTAACTATTGTTACGTCAGTTTCATCTTCCATTTCGGTAGAAAGAGGTTCAAACCTATTACTGACCGGAACGTTAGGGATACCATTAATTGTTGTTGGCGTATTTGTTGAATTTGAGCTCTGAACATTTTCTGGTACTCCAGTGTTGTTAGCACCATGTTCTATTATAGATTCAATGATATGTGTCGTAGAGTTATTATTTTCAATAATTGAATTATTCATTTCAGTATTCGTGGAGTTAGAGAGATTATGTGAATTAACATATGTTTGCTTTTGGTTAGGATTTTTTGGTGTAGTTTTTATCATAGAATTGTTTGAATTCGCTCTCTTTTTCTCATTTGTACCGTCTTTCGATGAAATACTTGAATTAGATCTTACCTTTCTCTTCAGCAGTTTTGACAAAACGGCCTGATCCGACAGTCCACTCTAGCCAGCTAACTGGCGTGCACTCATAAGTAAAGTGTCTGTTTTCACTTTAAAAAACTATACAAACAGATTATGCCTTTAAAGAGAACACATTTTCACTATAAGACACATAACAAATACAAGAATTCAATAATTTATAAGAAGAAGAATTTTTTTAGCAACCGCACTGTTCAATCGTAACAGCTGATATATCCAATAACCATGTAAATTAATTAAGTAAAAAAAATAATGTAAAAAAAAAACACACTAAAAGGATGATTTTTTAAACCCTTTTACTGTGATCGAGTATTAGCATTAGTGCAAAAAAAGTACATATAGGAGTTACAATAAGTATTATGCACTATTATTTCCTTGATTTTTGTCTTTTCCTTTCACCTATAATTTAATATAAATCATTATCACATCTCATTCGAATTTATTCTCACAATATCATCAATTTTGGAATTAAATTTCATCTTGGGAAACATTTATTAAATAACCATTCCTTGTATATTAGATATCACCAGCTATTTGGTTTCAAGAATATATACAATTTTTGGAGAAAATAAAATACTTGAAAATTGGTATTTTGGTCTCGATTTTAGCATTTCGTTCCACTGTGAGTCGGCGCGTTGAGCAGGCCCATCGAAATAGTAGCTTTAGATTTTTTGTTCTTACCAGAAGTGAACTGCCAACGGGCGCTCCCAGACGACCTCCAGGTCTCCGGGAGGAACTGTTTGCATGACTGCCCGTTTCGGGTTGACCAAGGTCGGAAGTGGTTGTTCACGGTCACAAGGAAAGGCTCTGAGCGCTTCCTCTTCTCAGGCTAGGCCTCATCAACTGCCTAGTTATCAGGGTCTGGAGTTTGATATAGTATGCAATAAAAAACCGTCATATATACAGTGAAAAAAACATAAAACATGCAGTAAGACAGCTAAATAATTGAAATATACTAAAGTGCCTTCACTTAAAAACTAAAAAAAAAAATACGCTACAAATTTTTTTCACAATAGATTGTTATTTCCCAACAATTATACATGTAAAGAAACATTGCCTATCTAGTGACAAATTAAAATAAATAAAAAGTTAATTTCAATTATTTGCCTAAACATTTTTTTTCATCATTAGTAATTTTCTAACAAAAAAAAAAACGCTGCAAATGATTTCACAATGGTTTATTATCTCCAAACAATTATACATCTAAAGTACCATTACCTTCCGAGTAACACAGGAAAAAAAAAAAAAAAAGGTGGTTCCAATTATTGGACTAAACTGTTTTTCTTTAATCATTAGTCATATGCTAAAAAAAAATAGCATTATTTCAGTAACACATTTAAAATTTAAAAACCAAACCAAGGATATAACATTTGGAGTAGAACACATAAAAAAAAACCAGAGGCTACATTTTTTTTTTTAGGAAATTACATAAACTTTTAAAAAACTATATACAATATCCACAAAAAAGTAAAAACTTTTCGGGTTATTCGGAATTTAATATTACCATCCCTCGTAACTTTATTTCCAGCTTCTTTTCGTTGAAGTATGTTATATAGATAAATTTAAAGGGCGTCGAGAAAATTACTTTAGCGAAGTTTCGTTGAAATCTTTACATTCGTTTAGGAGCTACAGTCTATAGCAACGCAGGTTTTTCGGCCGCTATTTTGAAAGTTAAAGGCGGAGAGTAATGTCGATGAAGGAGGATCATCCTCGGGTGACCTCTGATTTTATATCAAAATTTGAAAAAAATCGGTCCAGTAGTTTCGGAGAAAACGAACGCCGGACGGCGGACGGCGGACGGACAAAAAAATTTTATTGGTTTTTCGAATTCTACGCGTCTTGAAACGTGAAACCTCAAATTTTGAGAGGGGGTTATGTTTTTGAATTTTTTGGTCGATCAAAATGTTTCATTATTGAAAATAATAAACCAAAATATAGCATTACTTCAGTTACACATTCAAAAATCCAAAACAAAGGATTTGCAGTAGAACACAAAAAACATACCATATCTTTACTCCTAATTGTCCGATTTTAAAGATTTTTTTTTTTTACGAAATTTCGTAAACTTTTAAAAAACTATTTACAATATTAGTAGTTTCGGAGAAAAAGAGCGGACGGCGGACGGACAAAACATTTTTATTCGTTTTTCGAATTCTACGTATCCTGAAACGTAAAGCCTCAAATTTTGAGAGGAGGTTGAGTTTTTCAATTTTTTGTTCGATTATAATGTTTCATTATTGAAAATAATAAACCAAAAAAAAGTTAAAATCGCGATATCTTCACTAATACTGAAGCATCAGCCAGAAAACTTCCCCTCTCACCGTAGATCCGCCTGTGCTGGGGTTCTGATGTCTGTTTCAATTATTTTTGTACATAATTTAAAAAACAAATTAATGAATCTGAAAAAATTATGTACAAGCTGTTGTACTTATTACAATATTGTTGACACATTTTCCAAATAAGGCTTTCCTCCAAATTAAAACGCAAAATCCCTTGAACAGTTCAAACAAATATTTAGTATGCCTGAGTTACATCAATTCACGATTAAATCTTGCGCAAGGTCATGTTGGATTGAGATAATACAATCTAGTAAATAACGAGTATGTAATAAATTTCTTGTAAAAAAAAACAATAAGATCACTAGTATACAAAAAGAAAAAACAAACACGAAAAAGAAGAAATAAAAAAGAAGAAAATTAGTGTTGCTGTTAACATCTCACGGAGCCGTTCAAATACATACAGAAGGAAAGACAAGGTTCTGTTAACACAGCTAAGAAAGATTATATTGGCTGATTTGGAGGAATACGAGGAAGAAAGAAAAATAATGTATAGATAACCAAAATATAGTATAACAAAACGTGCTAAATAAAATAAAATATCAAATTAATAAATTAAAAAAAAAAAGCTCGAAGGTATACATAGGTTTCCAACATCGATTCCCAACAAAATTCAGTGGATGAATGGCCATTCCTCATGTAATTACAAAATAAGCACAAAGTTAAAGAATAGACGTAAGGTAATTATATTATAAATGGAAAAATCCAAACGACAAAGCCATGGGTCTCCAAACATACGGGTGAATATTTAACTTGCCTTTTTTTTTTTTAATTTATTATTTTATTTTATTTGACAATTTTTGTATTATTATATTTTAGTGATGTATATTTTTTTTTCTTCCTTGTAGTCGATTGAAACGCCCATTTGTAGCTGTAAACCTGGTATTAAATCTATGATTTAGATTATCTCTTATTAATCCACTACTAAGGTTTTTTTATGACGCATTCGGCACCGGAAAACTGGTATTACGGAGGATATTATAAATCTCAGGATGTAGGTCCATCCATGTAGTTACTACGATTTGCGAAATACAATCAGCGGAGTTAATTCGATTTCCAAATTGCACGTATACTCTGGGAAAACCAAAGCACCTACTTTTCGCGGTGTGCTGGATTGTATTAAGAGATCTATTTACCAATAATTTGTTTATCGCATAACCAAAAGCAAGTTGAATATTTGTTGAGCATTCACGATTCAAATATTTTCTATTTTATAATATAATTATATTATAATATAATATTATATATATATATATATATATATATATATATATATATATATATATATATATATATAATATATTTTTGATTTAAAACTCGATTATAACACGGCTAGTACCTAATTTGTAATAGTAATCTCAATTGCAATTATATTGACTAGTAGGCCCGTTCGAAAAATTCTCAAAGCATATTGTTATCAAATGCCAAATTAATAAGAAAATAAAACAAAACAACGTATCAATGTATAAAGTAATCAATTGTTACTTTATCGGTAAATATAATCGACAAAGGAAACAAAATTAATTTAAATTTTCATTTTTGGTAGGAACGAACATATTTACAAATTTCGATAAGCTGTATCTTTGCGAAAAATTGTCAGATTTCAATGACTTTTTTTTTCCTTTTGTAGACAATTTAGTTATGTTTTATATAATCATGGAAAAAGCTAAGGGGAAAGTGTGTGATTTTTTAGTTATTCGCAAATAAAGTTTCTTTTCTTTCATAATTTGTTTATCTAAATTTTTGGGGTGATTGGACCATTTTGATTGGTGGCTCAATCTTGAGATTTGGTGAAGAATTAACGATGATATGGCTTGCCGATCAAAAACACCATCGATAAATAATATAAACTCCTCCTGTCTCGTTCATAGAGATTTCAAGTCGATGAAATGAGACATGTATCCAATGACAGTAATGACAGCAATTAACCTCAGGTTATGTGGATGCGAACCCCATGCCTTGCGTTATCTCGAAAACAGTACGTTTTTGGACTTAAAAACGCAGGATCCTCCGGAACTGTCCGGGTTTTGCTGTACGCATCAAAATCTTCAAGGTCCAATTTGTCCCGCATCGATCTACAGACCTACCACCGTTCCAGTATTGAAGCCTAGAAAAATGTTTGTATCGACTTTATTTATTTTAGAAAGAAAAACAAAAGTGGAGAATACGATTCGCTAACCCCCCCGTGAAATTCTGAATCCAATGGTACCCCATTCATGGTTTTTGAGCATGACAGGAGCTTATATTTGGTACAAAACCTATTTCAAGCCTTACTGTAATAATATATGTGGGGATAGATAATGAGTGTAGTTAAAGTTTGGACAGTGAAACAATTTAGCTTTTTTGTAATGTTGCTAAATAGTTTTTTTTGAAGAGAGATTGTTGCTATGAAAAATATTTTATTTGTTGGCTATTTTTCTGAGTAGTGTAGGAATAATCCGTGATGTCAGTCGAATGTATATTTGAACAGCTGCGATCAATTTGATCCAACACCAATATATCTGTAATATTCCCCGATCAATTTACTAAATTAAATTTCCTCATTAATTTCTCTCGGTTAGTAATATTACATCTTCATTTCACGGATTGTAAAATGTAAAATATTGCTTTAGCAACTATAGCTTAGCTTAAATTAGATGAATTACAATTACAAAATATTCCAACGTCTTATCCAAAAATGTTATTTTACAGTGAAAATGTGTTTATTTTTCTTTAATTTTATTGATATTTCAGATAATATTCCATTTATTCTTGATCTTATCCCAGACAAATTCTCCAAATTTCATCAGAACCTTACCCATCATCCTAATCCCATAGCACAATCCCTATCTAGCACCGCTCATCCCTACAATCCTCCTCGCAGGTTAAAACGGCAGTGGCCCCGTGACCTTTTGTAACATGTATATATTGGAATTCTGGCAATGGCCAAATTCTCCACTCAAGTCATGATTGTCTGTGGTTGTTGCGCCTTACTCAACCTCCGCTGGCTTTTAATACCACTGAAGTGGTTGAGGAAGAAGCGCAGAGATCTACTAAAGCCTCGCTTTCCCTCCACATGTTGGGGGACAAGTATGGTTCGGAGTTCCCATGGCCGACTGTAAATAGTGTAAATAGTTATGCCTGCGTCGAAGATGAATATTTTCATGACTTTTTTTTTTAAAGATAATTTTAATTCTAATTGGTAATTGGTTGACTGTCGGGGATAATGAAGAGAAGAATAGTTGGGGTGGTAAGTCAAAAAGGAAGGCAAAAATAAATGATAACATTTATTTTTACATATGCCGACGTTTCGACCTGAATTTTATTTTCAGTTCTTATATAACTTCATATTTCTTTTTTATGTTTTACATTTTATTTTAAGATTCCCATTGTAACACTTATGTCACCCTTTTTGATTATGCCTACTTCAT